AAAGTTTCTCGACGTACCGTCTTTAAACCATCAAGATTGTTCTTTATTTCAACCGAAGCCGACGCTGCATGAAAAGCTCAAATTTAAATATTTTGTAAAGTAGCTATGAATGAAATCTTCTGTTGTCCACCCAACGTCGATGACAACAATTCGAACAAAGAAGTGATACAAAAAACGAACACTGTAGTTTGTATATTTAAGAATAAAAAAACGAACAGAAACTGTAGTTTGTAAGTTAAGGAACAGCGGGTGGAATTGCCTTGGCATTTTTTTGCCGAGGCAAACAATGAAAAATCGTAACTTGCCTCGGTATTTGCGTCGGCAATTGCCGAGTGCCGAGGCGAATTTCGAGGGTTGGAGGCTGAGCAATAAAGGCCGACATATTTATTTAGGAAAGTCGTGAACGAAAACAAAAACAAACACACAATACCTTGATGCAATCGAAAGACGAAACTGACTTGAGGTCTTGCTCCAATGACAGCTTCAGAGGAATGAATCACGCACAGACAACTCGCGCTTATATATGTCCCATGTATTACCATGTGATTGCTTTGTGAAGTAAAATCCCGCAATGTAACAACTTTTCCCTGTGATATTCTGTCGCGTGCGCTAGGTCACTATGTAGCTAAATGCCTATACTATATGTCTAAATAGAACACGGGAGGCAATAAAATTACTATTCGGCGAGCAAATAGTGCCTATACTGTACTGTAAACTTTTCAAGTGCAGGAGTATGTAACACTCATTTTAACTTGTAGCATGTAATGCACCAGTCAATGTAAATCCCTGTTCCCCCCAACCCGGGAAATGCAGGGAATTGGATTTTAAGCATTGCAAAAACAAGCGGTTGTTCCCGACCCCGGGGCACAAAATGAAGTCCATTGTCCCCGCATCTTCCTGGCCTTCCTGGTTTCCTTGGTTCTCTTTCCAATGACCAACACAGCAAATAATAAAAAAAAAATTTAAATTGTGTGGTTTTTTGCGTAAGATTTTATTTTGGTCGGGTCCCGTCCATTTGAATGTATGACTGCCCAAAACGTATGCACAGAACGGACTTGACTGCCTCATTTAAATAATAGACAATAAATATTTAATAAAAAATCAAGGCGATCATACGACAAACTCTTGCTCCACAATGATGCTATTAAAGCAATCAAAAAATTGGGTAAGTCAAAGGTCACATCATGACATGACACAACTGCAAATTTTTATTATGAAATATTCATGTTATTTATGCATATTTTATACACCTACATCTAGATATCAAGCTTTGCAATGTTTCAGCAACCACCTCCTTCTTCAAATTCCTATAAAATACTTTGCACAGCATTGCGATGCTATGGATTCTCAAAAGGTCTCAAAAGCACATTCAAATACAACCAAAGCCATCTTGTTGACACACATGCAGGCGGATGCAGTGACAAAACTGGAAATAGAATTGTTCCCAGGGTATCAACCTCGAACAACCGTTTCCCTGCTATAGTCCCTGACCTTGCATGCAAGGAAGCAATAGCGATCGCATTCCCCGTATTGCGGCGAATGAAAAACGAGTAATATCTGGCATTTGTCCCCGCATTTCCCCGCTCTTTCCTGGGTGAGGGGAGGCGGGGATTCACATTGACTGGTGCATAACCCTTCCCTATATGGGTGCATATGAATCTCTTGCTGTTATAATTTATTTATAGAAGAGTTCAAAAAACTTTATTCTCTAAATAAACCACAATTTCACAGGCAGTGATATTAACTTGTATTCCAGTATGCATACACCACCTAATGCACCTATCAATGTTAACCCCCAGAGGGGAGGGGGGTTTGGACATATGTGGGGTATTTGATCATCAATTGCATCCCCTGGGGATTTTGAATAGCATTTTGGCCCTGAGTTGGGGCAATTTGAGCTGAATGACTTTTATTAACATAGTATTTATTGCAATTTATTGCAAAATGGTGGGGCATTTGACCAATATTTATTGCCCGACGGTGGCGCATTTGATTGACAATTTGCTCTAAAAATCAAATGCCCCACCTATGCCCAACCCCCTTCCTCTGGGGCTTAACATTGATAGGTGCATCATACATATAATGAATTCTTGGGTTTCACTATGGCATTTTGCACGTTCTGTCATTGGTTCTGACGGGGGGTCAACCTAAACAATAAATGTATTGATGCTTATGTTGTACTGGAGTGAGCAAATGATATGAAATTGCATGTATTTGCTACCAAACACAAGGCCAAGCCATACAGTGAAAAATTAATTCACTCTGATGACTGTGTCTCGATTTAGAGATGACCACCCATCAAATTTATGACGTCATATGAAACACAATAATATACAGTATCATATTACTGACAGCTAATTGTAGCATAAAGTATTTAATGATTTTAATTTATTGAGTAGCACAATATGCCAAATTGGCAATCCCTTTGTTAATCTTGTCCACACAGTAATTCAACGAAGCCCTGCCCTCTGTACGAGGTTGTATTAATTGGATTCTGTCCAAGAAAACGTCATAAACCTTTTGATCCAGATGTTACAAAGTATGAATTCCAGATTTGGGAGACCATATAAATATTTTTAATAAATTCATATATTTTTTTAAAGAAATGTTCTATTCATATTAAATGATAGTGATCAGCCACCAGTACCAGAATTCATGATGCCACAATGTCACTGTGCACAAGAAGCTGTTTTACATAACATTGAAAACGGAAGCAAAGTCTATGGCTGCTTCTTGGACACAGCAAAGGCATTTGATACTGTGTGGAGTCGTGTCATATTTGATGGAGCACCGTCTAGCGAATTTCCTATTCTTCAAGGTGTACGACAAGGTGGCGTGTTATCACCATGGCTTTTCGACTTATTCGATTACCTGGCAACATTTGTACATGAATCAATTATTCCATCCAAAAACAAATGGAAAAAAATAGTTCAAACGCAAATAAAAAATTATGAGACCAAAAAGTGGAAAAACGGAATGTTGCACAGTGTGACCAGATTTGGTAATTTTAATTACTTTTGGTAATATTTCGCGATTTTTCGGACTTTTTTGGTAATTGAAAATTTTTGGTAATTTTTTTAGTAATTTCTCTTAAAAGTTAGTAATATTTTGGTTATTAACCAAATACGCCATAATCACACAACTTGTATGTTATTCAAAAATTCAATGAGAAAGTTGTAGGTCCATGCCTGGCTGTAAAGCTGTACATCCCAATTCTGCTGGCCCAAGCTGTCCAGCTGAATCAACGGAATCGTGTTGATCACCACTGACCTGTGCCGATTGCGGACTCGGGGCCTGGGGCCGATCATTATCATCATTATCATGATCATTATCTGATCATTATTCATTATCATCATGTATATGCAGATGACACTACTTTCTCTTCAAGTTCCTACTTCTCTGTCGCGTCGACTGAATTACAAGTTAACCTTCAACACGATATAGACAAACTATGTGAGTGGTCAGACAAAAATAGAATGGTACTAAATGCTGACAAAACCAAATCAACTCTTATTACTGGGAAACGCCTTTAATCCCGAATGCAATTATCTTCATTACCTCTTACAGCAAGTGATTCAAATATTGAACTGGTTTCTTCACAGAAATTACTTGGTGTAATCATTGATGAAGACTTGACGTTCAAAGAGCATATAAACAAACTTAGTAAAAACCTTAGTAAAAAGATCGGCCTGCTGAGAAAGATACGAAGATACTTACCACTACTTGAGAGAAAGCTATTTTACAACGCTGTCGTCAAGCCAGTTATGATGTATGGTAGTTCTATTTGGAGTTGCTGCTTAGAATTTTTAAATTACAAAAAAGAGCAGCTCGGGTAATTTTAGTAACTGACACTTCCTCCAGGTCAATAGCCAATTTCAATAAACTGAACTGGATACCTTTTTATGATGAAGTTAAAATTAACAAATGCACTTTAGTTTACAAGAGCCTGCATGATCAAGCTCCGCAGTATATTAAGAACTTATTTAAAACAAACAATGAAATTAATGGTAGACAAACTCGTCATGGCGAATATAATCTAGTGTGTCCTAAATATAATTATGCAACTGAGGGAGGAAAATCTGTAACGGTCAGCAGCATTAAAATATGGAACAATCTCCTGAAGGATATTAAGACGAAACCTAGCGTTAATTCCTTTAAGTTTGCCCTTAAAAAATATTTCTTAGAATCTTATAAGGGCATCGATCGCTTTGAATTATTATTGTGATCAGCAAGTTGTACTGTATATAATTTGTATATATAAATTTATAATCCTAAGATCTTTTTCATATTTACTCTAAGTAGCTTTTAGACGTTTTAAAGTAGAATTAATAACTTTGTATGTATTGTATATGAGGGCCACAGCTTTTTCAGTTATATTGCTGTCATGTGTTTTTACCCTCTTTAAATAAAGTTGTTCATTCATTCATTCATTCATTGCGACGCCATATTTGCATTTTGTTATTTTTTGTATTTTTGCACAAACATGGAAAATTAACCAGTTTCAGTGATGGAAAGCGACGAAGATGAAAGTTCTGAAAGCCAGCAAGGTGAAGAGGGTACCAGAAAAAGAAAGATCACGACCAAAACTCAAAATAAAGGTGAAAAAAAGTAGAAACAGCATTATCGAAACGAGTGGGCATTGTTGCCGGAATTTTCAAAGTGGCTAACAAAGGGTATGACTGCAGACACTGCTTATTGCAAAGTATGTCGATGCGAGATTCAAGCAAGATTGGCTACCGTACGCATACACGGCCAGAGTTCAAAGCATACGTCCCTCATGAACAGATCATCTGGTTGTTCGCAGGTACGCAAACGTGTGTTGACTTTGCGCGATAGTTTTGTGTCAATAGACAAATTTGGATTTCATTTTCATAATATTGTATATTGATTTTTAGCTTTCCAAATATTTTAAACCTGGTAAGAGCCTTTCCGATGAAGTAAAAAAAGCAGAATTAACATTTTGTGCATTTCTTGCTGAGCACAATTTTCCTTTTTGAGTAATGGATCACTTGTCCACCATAATATCTCGAACATTTAAAGATTCAGCGATCGCTAGTGAATTTTCGTGCAAACGTACAAAGACTGCTGCCATAACATACACTGTCTTATCCAAAGAGTTCAAGACTCAGCTTAGAAAAAGTCTTCATGGGGAGAATGGGGACGCACGTCCAGTTTCCATTATTATCGATGAAACTACAGATAAAGGAACAACAAAGTGCATGGCGATCGTAATTGAACTATTTGACGAAGAAACAAAGAAGGTTGACACGAGATTATTAAACTTAGTCCCAGTGCAAGGAGAAACGGCTGCTGATCTTTTTGAACTGATGAAAACCGATCTGGCAAAGCATGATGTTCAAATTACGCAATTAGTTGGATTTGCAGCAGATATGACCAACATAATCTTTGGTGAACACAATAGTATTGCTAGTCGTATAAAAGAAGAAATCCCAATTGTCTGTCCATCAAATGCGCGTGTCATTCATGTGCACTAGCGGTTTCCCATGCTTGTTCCCTCCTTCCACGAAACTTAGAGCAGGTTGTAAAAGAGTGTTACAATTATTTTGCTCTTTCAAGCAAACGGTGTAACGAGTTTAAAGAATTCCAGGAATTCACAGAGTCCAAGCAATATAGAATGCTTAGGTTCTACGATATAAGATGGCTTTCTTTTGGGTCGTGTATTGAGCGTCTTCTTGGTCAATGGGATGCCTTGAAGTTGTATTTCACATCGCAGTATTTAGTCGATCGTTTGCAAGCCTCTCAGTTCTTGTTTGAGCAGTTATGCAATGCCATTACAAAACTGTACTTCGCATTTCTGAATTACATAATGTCCCTTGTGAACAAGCCAAATGTGATTTTCCAGTCCGAGACATCAGCTATTCACAAGTTTCACTCAAATTGCACGTCGGCTTATAAATCAATCCTCAGTTGCTTTGTGAAGCCAGTACTCCTTAAAGGTGATGTGGCAGTTGCTGCGAAATTTCCTCAAGTCATTTCCACAGAAAAGCTTCAGATTCTTGACCAAGAATGGAGAGAACTGGGTTTTGATGAAGAAATATCAGAATTAGCTGACAAATGTGCCACATCGCCTACTGAAGAGTTTTGGGCCAACGTAGCGCTGAATGAGAAGTACCGTATCCTAGGAAAATTTGCGAAGGCAATGCTGTGCTTACCTGTCAGCAATGCTGATTGCGAGCGGGTATTTTCTAAGTTGAAGTTGATTAAAACGAAACAAAGAAACCGCTTTTCAACTGAAGGAGTGGCATCGCTCATTTTTGTTAAGGATGGAATTAAGCATATGGCAGGGTCTTGCGAAAACTTTGAACCCACTAAAGAGATGCTTGATCGGTGCAATAAAGAGATGTATACCAATGTCGAGGCTATCTATGGAGACGCTGCTTTGGCTGCAAATGAGTCCGAAGATGATGATGTATAATCAGTCACAGTCTGTATATTTAGTTTCAGGCACTTGACTTGGAGGGCTGATTTCGAGAATAGTTATTTCACTAAAGGAAACTTGTTTTTGCTGTTAACATTTATAATAAACATTTAAACTACAAAACATGTTGTATATATATTCAATGAAAGACCGCTAAAAGTAAACAGTGGAATGGAAATCTTTGTAAACATTAATTATTCAGCTATGTTAATGCATCGCAAAGGATTCTGGTTAAGAATATTTGTTGAGTCGAGAGTATAAATAATAAATTATACTACAGTATAGAGCTATTATTTAGCCATTCATCGCCGTTTTATTGATTTTCAGACCACTTTGATTGACAGCAGAAATTTAGTAATTTTTTCTACGTTTTGGTAATTTTTTGCATGCTTATTTAGTAATTGCCATTACAAATATCTGGTCACACTGATGTTGCATAAAGAAGAACTTTTCTTCTTTAAAGAAATCCATACGAACTTGACACCGTTATACCTATGGGAATTAGCGAAACGTAACCTTTGCGAGAAACTATCTATTGTCAAGTTGGTTAAAATTATTTGCGGAAACGTTCCAAGAATTTTTCATTTGTGGACGACATGCGATCCCACTGTTCGGTGTACATTATGCCAAGCACAAATCTGGAACATCAATTTTCATTTTATTATGATCTGTCCACACAAGAACATTTGGCGGAATAACTTGTGGGAAGAAATATCTGATAAACTTCCGACAAATGTTTTAGCTGCACTTCATTGCATGGACGATGTAGAACTTTATGTAAGCCTAATTGGTGGACTTAATCCCAATTTTTTTGGGAATGTAAGCCTAAAAGACGAACTAGCCTTAATTGTAGTAAAACATATCAGCAAATTGTGTACAATCACAGCTTAGATGAGATACATTTAAACAGTACGAACATGCATTCGTTTATCTTAATTAATTTAATTTTACCTTAGCTTTTAAATATTTTGTACATATCTTCAGTATTGGAGGAATTAAAGTCTGTACTATCTATCTATCTATATATCTATATATATATCTCTCTATATATATATCTCTATATATATATCTCTATATATATATCTCTCTATATATATATATCTCTATATATATATCTCTATATATATATCTCTATATATATATCTCTCTATATATATATATATCTATCTATATCTATATATATCTATCTATATCTATATATATCTATATCTATATATATCTATATCTATATATATCTATATCTATATATATCTATATCTATATATCTATATCTATCTATCTATCTATATATAGATTGATGGCATTTGGCACAACTTTTTCTAAACTGTTTAAAATCATTTATTTAATCGCCGAAGCTGCCCAAAATCTACACACATGAGTATATCCGTCTAAGTGTTTGATGTATTGTAGCAACGGGTCAGGAGGTTATTTATTTGACTGGAAAATAATGAAAGATCGTGGCATTGTGCCAAATGCCAAGCTAAAATTACATCTCCGTGTCCTTTGGCACAAAACTTTGCAAGCTGGTGCCAAATGCCAAATATCTTGTCGAAGACAAATTCTATTGCACGATTGTGCGACTTTAAGAATACTGTATTTGACCTTCTAGCACAATAACAATTACTGACCTGTTTTACTGGTTTAAATTATATGACAAAATTCTTTCAAACGCGGTTGATGTTTTAACTGATATAGCAAATCACTGATCGCATCGGCCGGCAGCGAGATATTGTCCAAAGCAAAATAACTTTAAATCGTGTGCATGGAATTAATAGGTGTAATAAATATTACTGTTCGCCTTTTTTTTTGCGCAAATGCCATCAAATAAGGCTGCTAGTAAAACAAACGTAGGCGATTGCAAAGAGCGGCTACTTTCCAAGTATATGGTAGATGAGACACCATTACAATAATTTCATTGTGCCAGATGCCAATCAATTTTATACGCATATTCCCAGGGATACTGGGTTATCTCTTTTCACAACACTTTTACTTACAGTTTCTTTCAAAAGACATGCAACGCAATTTTTTAATTCTAAGCTTTTCAGGCAAAAATACATATAATTAGTTATATCGAAATCTATTGTGCCAAATGCCATCGAATCGTATGGTAGTTGGTAGATAGAGTGTAATAATATGTTGTTCAAAAATATTATTTAATGTTACACCATATTATTTCTTCAGCTTTTATAGGTACATGATAACTGATATTAAAAGTAAGGAAGTCATTTTAACTTTACAGTTGAAAATATAAGAAAATTGAATGTCACAAAAAATATATTAGGTCTAGAAAAATTACACAAAAAATGCAACAAGCCTGCCATTAAGAATCAAACATACATGTAATGCTAGTAATTAACCATAAAATACAATACAGCCATTCAATTCTAGCAAGCAACAGGTAACCACAAGTTTCTGAACATACACACATATGAGGTGGAAAATCCCTTACCAGAAGGCAACTCATATTTAATTTTGAGTTTACATGATGGAGTAATGAGTATGTATTAAAAGGTACAAATTCATTTAATGCTATCAAATAAACTAAGATGGCAGTGGTATACACAAGAGCTTGTGGTTCTCTCAATGCTATTTGTGGGTGGACTCTTAACTTGGTTAAAGAACTGCACTAAAATCATCTATCCTTGTTAGAAAGCCTATATAGTAGCTGTTGCATCCATTTTCCATTTTGTTACATCTACCACAGAGGAAAATTCTGTTGTCTGAAAAGAATGGGCAAAATTTGTTTATGATAATAGTAAGTGTGTGAGTCAGGATATTGGAAGGGGATCAGGGCAAATTTTCATCCCAGTAGCAAAATCCCACCATTTCAAATGAAATATTGTGAACATGGCCTGACCATTTCACCATATAAATTTATACAATCAAATTTGAACAGACTATAAAAATATTAAGTGCACAATAATCTCTAAACAGGCAAGCCTGGGTTCCATATAAACAGTACCTAGGATTATTTCAATTTATCTAAGAGAACCACAGTTTAATATGGCTGTTTAAACAAATAAGCCATCATCAAATATATTAGTACTATACTTATGACTTAATGGGCCATTGCTATTTCATTTTTTTACACAATGTAACATTGCTATGACAGTGTATAAATATTATCAAAGTACAGTAGGTATTATGACAAGACGGGAATATCTCTGGAACGATCTATTCAAAGAGACATCCGTTTGTCTCTCATACAAATGCTGAATTGTTGAATATTAGTAAGAAATGAAGTCTGGCGAGTAGTTATGTATAGTATTGAGTATAAATTCATAATTCTACACTGGTACACTGTAACTGCTTTTTATTGTATAGTGTTTAATAACCAACGATAGCATTCCAGCCGGTGATCAAGTTTTCTCTTGGAAACTAAATCACAATTTGGGAAACTACAGTACATTAAAATATATATAAGCTTTCGGCCTCAAAGCGATTAACATACATGTCGTCGATCAGTTATTGAAATCTCGAACTAAAGATGCCATGATAGCAATAATCAGCAGCCGGCTTGGTCTGTAATTGAACTGCCTGAAAAATACAAGCAAATCTTCGATGTTTCGTAGCAAATCTACTAACTTCCAGATGAAAGGGCTTCGCTTGAAACGCCGAAGATTTGATTGTATTTTTCAGGTAGTTGAATAACAGCCAAGACCGCCGCTGATTATCGTAGATTTAAACTATCATAACTATCAATCAGGTAAATATTTGTACACAGTAAATACACAGTAGACGTACCTTTAAACAAAAATCCATGTACTTTGTTTAGTTTTTGTGACTTTATAAACAGAAAATTCGAATAAATATCACCCTCTTGAATGCAGATGCCATGAAGTCGATCTGGTGATTCAACAGATCGAATTACTGTCAATAGAAACTCGGGAACTTCCACTTTTCGCAATATATATTTAGAAGCAGAGTATACACTTGCATCAACTATCTCAATATTTTGATAATTTTGCATAAAATTAGAACACCTTCGTGTGAATATATGCATAGCAATACTATCCCAACTCTAAGTTTAAATAATTTGTGTATAGTTTTCGCCATTCCAACATATAATGGTAGAGCTATATTAGCTGAAAGACTAAAAATACTTTCGTAAAATTCCTCGCTATTATAATTTTCATGTGACTCCGTGACGTAGTTAGCACAACACTGCAAGTAAAACTATACGTTTCTATTAATATTATCTTAACTCGTCCAGTCTTGACTCCAAATGGGGTAAATAATGATACAAATCGAGGTGGAGTCTTTCGACCACTTGCATGCATAAGTCGATTGGATCTCTCCAAAAGGACGCCAAGGCATTTCCCGAAGGGGTGTAGTTTTATTGTTGCATCAAATACTTGTCAATTTCGATTCATTTATTCGAACCAAATTTGTTTCTGTAGAAACATGTGCTCTTTAGAACATGAATACTGCATATCCTGTAGTTAGACGCACGCTTGGCAATACTAAGATTAAAAGCTTTATGAAGTTTTATGAAGCCAACAAAAACTCGTTACTTTTTGAGAGAATATTTCAAGACATGGTTTCGCCAGTATATTATTTACTACTGTTGAGGCTCGCAGTAGAAATATCACCATGATCATAGTAAACGTGCGGGCCATAATGGTACGTGAAATCCTGTCGTGAAATGTTCTTCCCATGCCTTTCCAATGAAATGGCGATCGCAAATGTAAACATAGGTCCGCTTTGGAATTGATTTCTGGCATTTCCAGAGTTATGGCACAAACTTCGATTCATGATTACTGTAAATAGTACTATATATTCATAATTTGTTTTGTTTTAAGTTTCGAACTCTCAAAAACTTTATTGTATAACCTATTAATGTAAGTTAGGGGACAAAAATGAAAGGACTGCAGCGGTTCCTAGTAGTCTCATAGCCCTGTAGTGTAATTATAATCTAAAATTAATGTAATTAGCTATTTTGGACGAATTAAATAAACTTACAAATAAACAATTGCGTAATTCGATATATATATGAT